CCAATTTTTCAGGATTTATTTCATTCTTAAAATGAGTTTTTCAGATTAAGTTGGAATTTTTACTGACTAGATGTGTTTGGGGGTGATCTTTCGCACTGTTTGACCATATTTGATGACAATGGTGGCGATGGGACTCGTCAACGGCAACCCACGCGACCGGAGAGACGAACGGTGGGCTTCACGCGTCGATAGGGTGTCTGGTCATCATTGGCGGTGGCTGCTGCTGGTGGTGTTAGGGTAAAAACCCTAAGTTTTGAGTGATCTGGACCGTTGGATGAGCCCAAATCCAACAACTGGCGTTGGAGGTGGCGTTGGGCAAAGAGGAAGAAACCCTAGCAGGTATTGGGCTCATCAACAATGTGGACTTTATTCCTGGGCTTCGGGTTGGACTGTTTTGGGCTTTATAATTTGGTGGTGGTATCATCCTTGTGGGATGTGGCATTGGGTACTGTTGGGTCTGTAAAAAAACGATAATGATAAAATAATAATAATAAAAATGGGATGAAAATGGGTGTCGACACTAACATTTGATTCAAACATTTCTAATTCATTCTTTTATTTTAATAGATAGACTTGTCTGATGATGGGTATAAATAGGGTAAGGTTATATTTCTTGCGATTTCCAAAAAATTAAAATTTTCATCTGAATATGATTTAACTCAATATTTGATTATTATTTTTATCCAGTCTGAAATTTAGAGTTAAAATATGTCTCCCTCATGCTTTGAAAAATATTGTTTTTTGAACATGGTCTTGAGGACTTGGTGGAATTCAAGTGGAAAAATTTACAAGATGGAAGACAAGTATGTTTTTCCAGGAATCCATGCATGGTTTCTTCTATAATTTTGTCCTTGCCTGGCATGTAATTGTAAACAATTGTAATCGAATCCGAAACGTGCAGGAGACTATTTTAGCAAACGTCTGGTTTGAATTGTTATCGGTTGTTCATATGATGGCTATGCTCACATTATCTGAGGCTGACACACTTATGATCCCCAAGGATTATTCTGGTTCTGGCTCACGGGTCGTTTCTACAGGTTTATGCCTTAATTTTCAATTATGATTTACTTTAACTCTTAGTCTAATCACTGAAAACCATATGCACTAATCACCACCAGATTATAAGAGAGATGCAGTTGCTTTATTGCTCAAGGCTGCAGGGTACCTGGAATTTTGTGTCCGGAACGTACTGTGTCTTATACCACCGGAAATCAAGTATGTACATAAATTTAGAGTTCTTGAAAACATTATTTCACGTACTAGCACAATTTTTCAATATCATATAAACATCTCATAAATATTCCCAGGCAAAGTATGTCAAAAGACTTGCAGGAAGGTGTACTGGAAGCTACTTCCATCCAAGCATTAGGCCAGGTATTCTTTACTTACGTCACTGAATAAATTCAATTGAAAAATGGAATTGGATCTTTGATTTCTTGTTATAATTCAGTGGAAATGGATCTTTATAACAATTATAAATAAACATCATAGCAATTATATTATTTATCCCAGGTCGGATCAAAAAAATTTCAACTTAAATCGATTTGACTCTATCATTCATAAAACACCTGACCTTTTTTTACTCTTATAGAAAACGAAATTATAAAATTGGATCAAATCAAAACATGTTGAATTCTGATAATTTAACTATCACTAAACTTATCTAAGGATTAAACTACTCATGAAACATAATTGATTCATTTATTTAGGTGAACCCAAGCAAAAACTCTTCATATTCAAATTAAACAGATTATTTCTTTTTTTAGTAAAAAAGGTTTAAATGAATTGAAAACAAAGCCTTTCCTACAATAAAAAACTAATTCAACAATTATGACAATGCTTATATCCATTTGAGAGAAAGTGAACCAATTACGTGCTTATCCAGTTTCAAAACTCAAAGAACATGAGAAAAATGCATGAAAATATGTAAGTGAATGAACCGTTTAAATGAAGCCCAAGTTGATGAGCCGACTGTCATTTTAGACCTTTATTCAACATCAATGTAAGGGAATACTAAAAAAAAAAGCAAGCATAAAACTAATCTGTCGCTATGAGACAAAACCAACGTTAGCAGTCGTTTTAATGCCTCGTCAGAATGGTGGAAATTTTTTTCCAAGCATGTTCCATTGTTGTCAAGTTGAATTTAACGGTGATATAGCCATTATAACGTCATTTTTTACGTGTTGTGTCAACACGGAGAGATAGATTCGGCTTATCATGTCATTTGTGGTTCTTGTGAGTGAGAGTCATAAATTTTAAAATAACTTTCAAATAATTTCTTACTTCTTATTTACATGTAGAAAAAATGTGAAGATTCATCTTTAAAAAAAATGATATAAACAAATATTATTGATTGGGATCACGGATAATATGATGAGCAGGGATTATCTAATAATTTTCAAGTTTATGGGTGTTTTTTAAATAAAATAATAAAACAAATGTCTTAATCCCATGCCTTGATTATTGTAAACTGTTTTTTTAATTTTCAAAAATATCAACTAGAACAAATATAGTTATTAATCTTTCGCGTTAAAGATTAGACACTAACAACCATCATCTTCCTGTTACTTTTAAATTGTCAATCGAACTCTCAATCACACAAGTTATTATTGACAGTAATCTCAACAACAATGATTCCTCTTTCGACGTGAACGTCAAGTTCCCACCCCCAGAAATCACGGCATAAGTTCGAAAATTGTCTAACGTCCTTTTCTTGGAGTATTTTATTATCAGTGTATTAAGGGATTAAGGTAGACTTTTATGTTAGAGAGTACAGTTATAAATTTTAGAGGAAATTTAACTTATAATGTTTTGGAGGAGAAAAACATATTATAAATAAAAAATATATAAAAATCTAAAATATAAGAAAATTTAAAAATTTCATAGATGACTATTAAGGGCGTTCAAATTAACTTGTAATTGACAGACCGTTTCTGAAATTTTAGTGGTCTGGGACGAAAATAGAACTTAGACCCTAATAACAAATATGAAAAAATTGAATTGTAAGAATAAAATAAAACTAAATAAATTTACTTGTAAATTGTTTTTAAATTACATTTAATAAACTAGTTAAAAAATACATTAAATTTTAAATAGAAAACATAAAAAATGTATTAAACACCCAACTACTCACACAAAACAAGTATGATCCTCTTTTAAAAGGATAGATGTTAGGTTGTAACCTTCTTCATCTTGTAACCTTCTTCATCTTGTCAAAAAAATAACAAAAGAACAATTAAGTGGAAAGTAAATAATAATTTAAAAATGTTACATCAACTTCGTGGTTAACTTTTTTTAGATTTGCGAAAATGATCAACAAAATCGTAATGCGAATCTCCACTATCGTAAATTAGTTGAAAATCGCATTCGCAACTTGAAAATCGCATTCGCGTTGCGATTGCGATAGTAAAAAAAAAGATTTTGTTTCTTAAGAATTTTCTCTAAAAAGATAGTATCCGCGCGGACGTGTCGAAGACACGTATTACCACGACCACGACCACGACCCGAGACGAGACGACGGCGGACCACGACCACGACCCGAGACGAGACGAGACGAGACGACGGCGGCGGCGGACCACGACCACGACCACGACCACGACCCGAGACGAGACGAGACGAGACGGCGGCGGCGGCGGCGCGCGAGAGTCCCCCTTGTTCTCTATCACTCAACAAGGAAGTGGGAAAGCCAAGCCTTAAATACCATTCCCAATAGTGTTTCCAATACTATGTGGGATTTGAGCATTACCAACACTTGTTCCCAATACTATGTGGGATTGAGCCTTAAATAGTGATATTATTTTTGAATATTTTGCTTAAAATTGCAATAATCGCGATTGATTGTAGATTGACTTTTAATTATGACATATTTAATCGTATAATACTAATGCAATTGGGTGTTGATTCAGTTGTTTTAAGGTGCATGATTGTTAATTGTTTCTTGAATAATCACATTGTATTGGAAACAAGTGTTAATGCTCAATCGCACATAGTATTGGAAACACTATTGAGAATTGTATTTAAGGCTTGGCTTTCCCACTTCCTTGTTGAGTGATAGAGAACAAGGGGACTCTCGCGCGCCGCCGCCGCCGTCCGTCTCGTCTCGGGTCGTGGTCGTGGTCGTGGTCATACGTGTCTTCGACACGTCCGCGCGGATACTATCTTTTTAGAGAAAATTCTTAAGAAACAAAATCTTTTTTTTAACTATCACAACGAATTTGGAAAATCGCAACGACAACTGTAGACTATCGCAACAACAACTGTAGACTATCGCAACGAATTTGGAAAATCGCAACGACAACTGTAGACTATCGCAACGCGAACTGGAAAATCGCAACGCGATTTTCAACTATCGCAACGCGAACTGAAAAATCGCAACGTGATTTTCAACTATCGCAACGCGAACTGGAAAATCGCAACGCGATTTTCAACTATCGCAACGATATTTTCAATTATCGTAACGCGAATTTACGATAGTGGAGATCGCAATGCGAATTAGAGATCGCATTGCGATTTTGTTGGTCATTTTCGTAAATCCAAAAAAAATTGGTCAAAATCATATATTATCTGGGATTTTTTATCACTGATATTATTTTCTCTTAATTAATTTATCATACAAACTCAATTAATCATTTAATATATAATACAAATAGATTAAACCTGTATCTAATAGCTTTAAATTCAATACCTCACAACTATCAAGGAACCAAAACATGAAAAGCCGTGACATTTAAAATAATTATAATTATTGCAAGGTTGTTGGATTGTTTAAGGGGCTTTATTTTCAAGCCAGAAATTTAATTAACTTGAGGAAAGCGATGTTTGACGTGCTTCGTTATTTGGTTTTGTTAAACACAAACTTTTGGCCTTTTTGAAAAGGTTCGTGCTCTTTATTGACCTTGAACCCTTATCTTCAACCACGCACACTTGATTAATTATATATAATTCTTATATTGCAATAAACCCACCGAGAATCTTGTGTGTTTTAAAGTAAGTATAACAGAAACCAAACCACTTCTGCTGTTTAATCATCATCCGTCAGAGACAAAATCTGTAGCTTTGAAAATGGGGAATAGTTTTGGTGGGAAAAAGAGTAGCAAAGTGATGAAGATAAATGGTGAAACATTCAAGTTGAAGACACCGGTGAAAGCTGAGGAGGTAGTTAAAGATTATCCGGGGCATGTTTTGTTAGAATCAGAAGCTGTTAAACATTATGGTATTCGAGCTAAGCCATTGCAATCATGTCAGAAGCTCGAGCCCAAAAGGCTTTACTTCTTGGTCGAGTTGCCCGAAGCTCCCAAAGAAAGGGTTCTGAGGAGGGTTCGGTCGGGTTTGAACATGAGTGCCAAAGACAGGCTGGAGAGCCTAATGATGTCCAGGAGATCGGTGTCGGATTTGACACTGATGAAGCAGCAAAGTCCCGTGGCTGAAGTTGGTGGAAGTGGAGCAATGAGGTTGAAGATTAGGGTTCCCAGGGGAGAAGTGGAGAGGTTGATGAAAGAGAGTGAAAGCGAGGCGGTGGCAGCTCAGAAGATCATGGAGCTTTGCATGGCTGGTACGCCCAGAGACGGCGGCGATGCGGTGAAGGGGAAGGATGGGTTATTTATGGAGCGACGAGTTCTGCATTGGAAGGCTAGCAATGGAAGCTTAGACGGAGCAGGTTTCAAAAAGCCCCGTGAGATTGATTTTTTCACCACATAATTACCCTCTTGCCATAACATTTTTCATGTTTTAATACTTTTTATATAGTTTTAAATAAAATAATCAAATACTCTCAACCATTTGACATTTTAACATTCAATCAATCTGTTGTAGCCGTCGGTGTTCGAATCCGTAACCTCTAAGAACAACAACGATTCATTTAACCACTTAATTTAGTTAGTTAGTGCAAATATTGCTATCGTTTTAGTTGTTAAGTATGAATGTGAACTAATATAGGGGATAAGGGGATTTTTAAATTGGGTGGACGAAAACAAAGCTCTACTAATTAGGAAATTAATATTGTTCTGCCTACCAAAATTAATTGGTTTAGGACAACAACATATTTCTTATTGACCCTAGAATTAAATGAACGCCTCTCATTTATTTGTTTTTGGAAGTAAACATAAATATAATGCAACGTAATAAGTTTTAGATATAAATATAATATGTATAATGAATATGTTGTATAAATCATATTTAAATGTGTCATTTTAATTATCAGATCTAAATATTTAATATATTTTCAAATAAAAAACATTTGATTGTTTTTGTCTTTGTTTATTCTGGCAGAAAAGGGCGAGTTTCGTGGCAATCAATGGAGGAGAGAGCCAAACCATTGTACCTTGATAACAAACCAAAGCAATGGAAGATATGGTCAATCCTCCGCATCTTCATCTTAATATGTACATGCATCGGACTATCGTTGTAAACATTATAATTGAGTAAAATTAGCCTTTGTGTAAATATCTAAATGTTATATTTTTAATTTACAATATAATATATAATGAACATTTTATCTTTTTAAACTTATTTTTTGAACAACCTCAAACAATTAATTTTAAACTGCACTTTTATACAACAATTTTAAAAATTTATTTATACAATACTTTTAAAAATCACTTTGCCAAACTGGCACTAATGCTTTCCCTTACCATTTTTCAAACTTTCATTTTCATTTGTTTTATCCTTTTTCTTTCTTTCTTTCAGTACCAGCAAATCATTTATTAGCGATTATTTTGCTGATTTTAATAACAAATGCTTTTAAAAAAATATGTTTTGAAGTTATCAATTGTAAACATATTTTGTTCAATGTATTGAAAGTAATGAATAACGTTACCGACTGTTATATTTAATATAATTTTAGGGATATACAAGATTTATCCCTTGTACTTTGTTGAATCTTTCGATATGGCACCTATATCTTTTAAATATCGAATGTGCCCATTTATTTTTATTGCATCTTCCAACCTAATACTGGGTCAAATGCCGTTAATGTCTAATTAAAAAAAAACAAATTGTTAAGATCCATAGGCATTTGGTCCAAAGTCAACAAAATTTAATGAAATGTTTTGTCTAGTGAAATGTGGCATCATAAGAATGGCTTACGTGTCATGATAGGTTACACATAACTGACGTTAGACCGAAGTACTAGATTAGATTACAGAATGAAAGTGGAGGGGCATATACATCCAGAGAATCCATGTACTGTATTGAAATATTTGATCATATAGAGGGACAAGTCTGTAATTATCGCATAATTTTCTTCCTATTTAAATAATATTTTAATTTATCTTAAAGATTGCACAATCCGCATAAATTAGTATTTTTCATTTTAAAATTATACCATGCTTCTTTTTATTTGAGAGCAATATTATTTGAGTAGGAATGATGTACCAATCGTAGGGCTAAATGCTTAGATGATGTAACGTATTTCAGATTTATCTAATTAAACAACTATAATAAAAATTATGAAACAAATTATAGCAATATGATATATAACTAGAAAATTTATTAAAGCTGCTCTCTCCCTCCTTTGTATTCCTTTATTTCTTTTTCCCTCTTTAAGTTTGTATCATTTTTTATAGATCATATCAATTTTTTTATTTTATTTTCTTTAACCGGAGATGACATTAGTTTTGATGTTGCTTGTCGACCGTCAAATCTCTTTTCTCTTTATTTTCTCTTTTGGTTTTTAATAAAAGATAATTTTGCATGTGTTGCATGTTTATCTTTGTTTTTGTAGCACGTTATTTGATTTTTTTTCTCAGTTGTTTTTCTGTTCTTTTATTTATATTGCTTAGGGTTGGATTCGACGATGCCACAACTGATCAAGATGGCGCTGTTGGGGAAAACGGGTTATTTCCCACACGAACGTAGTTTTAAAATTGACCTAAAATGTCAAGATTAAAACCACCAAAGGTTGCACAGTGGATAAACCTGTCAAACTATTGAATATTGAAACACAATGGAAAAGAACCGAATAAAAAACAATAAAGGAGAGAACACACCAAATTTACGAGGTTCGACGAGAATATCGTCTACTCCTCGGGCACCACACCGGATGATAACTTCACTATATCGCCAATATTACAACAAATGGAATTCTTTGGAATTCCCAAAGTGGGAGAATGAAGAATACAAGAGGAAGAGAGAACTTGTTTTTGGGATGATTTCTAATGGAAATACTTAGGCCTATTTATAGTTGAGTTTCAAGAACAATATGTTCAAAGTTTGGCCACCTACCAAAGAATTTTCCAATGTGTACAAGTTAGCCACCAAATATGAAATTCACATGTTCAAAGTTTGGCCACCAACCAAGATGAAATTTCCAACTTGTCAACTTAATTTCTAGACAAATCTAACAAATCTCCACCTTGGCTTGAAATTACCAATCCTACTCAACTTCTTCAACTCCCCAAATTTGTAGTGCCTCTAATTGCACTCACAAGCGCCATACACCCGAAGGTGTTCATACTTTCAGGATGTTAATCAAGTTCAAACAATGATTGAACTTGATTATTGTTACCACCTTGGTCATCATATCTGCAGGATTTTCTGATGTCGCAATTTTCTGAAGTAGAATCTTTCATTCTTCAAAGATCTCCCGCACAAAGTGATACCTCACGTCGATATGCTTAGTCCTTGAATGGTAGGCTTGATTTTTCGCTAAGTGAATAGCGCTCTGACTGTCACAATAGAGACTAATGTGACTTTGAACAACTCCCAAGTATTCCATCAACTCGTTAAGCCAAATGGCTTCCTTTACAGCCTCTGAAACTGCCATGTATTCTGCCTCTGTAGTAGACAAGGCCACCGTAGATTGCAATGTAGACTTCCAACTTACTGGGGCTTTAGCAAGAGTAAACAAATACCAGTAGTTGATCGACGCTTATCCAAATCACCAGCATAATCGGAATCAACATATCCAACCATACACTGACCAAGTACTTCATCATGTTCAAAAACTAAACCAACATCCACGGTTTGTTGGAGATACCGTAGAATCCATTTCACAACTTGCCAATGTCCTTCTCCAGGATCATGCATGTACTTGCTCACAACTCCAACTACTTGTGAAATGTCAGGACGCGTACACACCATTACATACATCAAGCTCCCAACTGCATTAGCATATGGAACTTTTGACATATACACTCGTTCTTCGTTAGTTTTAGGAGATAATTGAGAACTAAGTTTCAAATGAGAAGCCAATGGGATACTTACATGTTTGGTATTTTCATTCATGCCAAAACATTGTAATACATTTCTCAGATACTGCTTCTGTGTTAAACAAAGCTTCCCTCTCTGTCTATCTTTGCTTATCTCCATACCAAGAATCTTCTTGGCCTCACCTAGATCTTTCATCTCAAACTCTTGATTCAACTGAGCCTTTAATTTGTCTATCTCCTTTTGAATCTTTGAAGCGATCAACATATCGTCAACGTACAAGAGAAGATAAATGAAAGATCCATCTTTGAGCTTTTGCAAATACAGACAATGATCATATTTGCTTCTAGTATACTTTTTCCTCCTCATAAAGCTATCAAATCGCTTGTACCACTGCCTCGGAGATTGCTTCAATCCATATAGCGATTTGTTCAGCTTACAAACCCATTTCTCACAACCACCATCTTATCCTTCTGGCTGTGTCATATAGATCTCCTCTTCTAAATCACCGTGCAAGAAAGTCATCTTTACATCAAGTTGAGCTAGCTCCAAATTCAACTGTGCTACCAAGGCCAACAATATTCTAATGGAGGAATGCTTCACAACAGGGGAAAATACTTCATTGTAGTCGATTCCCTCCTTTTGAGCGTAGCCTTTAGCTACCAACCGTGCCTTGTAGCGAACATCTTTCTTGTTATGTGATCCATCTTTCTTTACAAATACCCACTTGCATCCAATGGCTCTTTTACCTTTCGGTAATTGTGCCAGTTTCCAAGTGTCGTTCTTTTGGAGAGATTACATTTCTTCATCCATGGCACTTTTCCACTTATCACTTTCCAAGCTTTGTATTGCTTCTTGGTAAGTGATAAGGATATCATCATCAACAACTGGAAGAGCATAGGACAACATATCAACAAATCGAGCAGGTATACGAATTTCTCTCCTTGGCCTTGTAACTGCAAGTGTTTCTGGTGTCTCCAATGGTTCTTGGGTTTGAACCTCTTCATCTTCTGATTCTTCTATTGGAGTTGAAGAATCAGCTGCATCAACTTCTAGGATCATCATCTGCTGAAACTCCACCTGTTTTGGAGTATGCTCCACCTGCTGCAAAGTACTACTTGTCTGGACTGCTTCACTTGTTACCTTCTTTACTAGGGCAGATTCATTAAAGGTAACATCTCTGCTACAAATTATCTTCTTGGTGTCTAAACACCAAAGGCGGAATCCCTTCACTCCATGGGTGATTCCTATAAAGAGAGCCTTCTTTGCTCTCGGATCAAGCTTGGATTCCTTCACATGATAATAAGCAGTGGATCCAAATACATGTAAGGAATTATAATCAGTAGCAGGTTTTTCAGATCATACCTCCAATGGTGTTTTTCCTCCTATCGCTGATGACGACAGAAGATTAATGAGATGGCCAGCATATGTCACAGCCTCAGCCCAAAATGCCTTGCCTAACCCAGCATTAGACAACATACATCGAACTTTCTCCAATAGTGTTCGATTCATACGCTCTTCCACCCC